AATTGGTGCATTATATTTATAGTGGCTATGCTTTGTATAATAGCACAATTTGCGGCTAGCGGCAGCGACTTTTTTCTCGCTCAATGGATTAATATAGAGGAAAACTATAAGTGTATCACTATGTGTATAATAAATAATATATTTATTGTTTAGTTATTACATCACTTTCAATTCAAGTTTTGCTCAAAATTGTTTCGAAAGGTAGTGCCAGTTTTGACCATAATATTATACATAAAGAATTTGAATGAGCAATTATTATTGAAATGGAAAAAGTTTTCATAAGTAAAAGCAAAATTTTTCCTTAAAATTAAAATACGAAATTTTCAAGAGAGAGACGTTTTATTTTTAAGAACGTTTTATTTTTAAGAACGTGAATAAAACAAAATCTACAAGAAAGTCTCTACAGATTCTTCTGCATATTGATTATAGAGGAATTATTAATTATATCATTTTATAGATGAGCCAAACGGACAACGGTTTTGTAAAAGACCCGAACAGTCCTCTCACCCGTATGCAGTGCATCTACATCTACAGCGGGCTGATTGTGTTAACAATCATCATCACCCTTATATCCGCTCATGGACGTTTTTTTGAACATGCATGAGGGCTTCAATGCGCTTGCACGATCGCATGTTTCGCAGCATTAGCCGCGCCACTATGCGATTCTTTAACACTAATACTTCGGGACACTAATACTTCAAGAACGTATTTTTGCGCTACGCGCCGCTGGAGCCGCCTGTACTTAAGAATCTTAACTTCGTTATCTTTCCGCAGGAGAAAATTGGCATCGTTGGTAGAACCGGCGCTGGCAAGTCATCCTTAATCCAGGCGCTCTTCCGCCTGTCCGACATGGACGGTTTAATTGAGATCGATGAAGTCGACACAAGCCAGATCGGCTTGCACGATTTCAAGATCAGCATTATCCCTCAAGAACCGTTTCTGTTCTCTGGCAATCTGAGACGAAATCTCGATCCGTTCGACTCGTATATGGACGAACCACTATGGCAGGCTCTTGAGGAGGTCGAGTTGCAGGAGATGGGCTTGGAAGCCCTCATTAATGAAGGCGGCTCCAATCTCAGCGTCGGCC